TGCTACTCAGATCCCAGTGCCATGAGCAGTAGGAATCGGAAGCAAACCAGAGGGCTTGTTTATATGATCAGAAGAATGTGGTAACACTTTTCTAAGACATCAGCTGCAGTAGGGTGTAGGGTCGTGTGTTTGTGCCAGGAAGAAAAACTTGGCTTCACTTTCTTTTTGAGATGCTACTTTTCTACTGGCTGAGAGTTTTCATAACAGAACATTCCTATGGGAATAATTGGACTCCTGGGGGTTCACTTTAGTTCTATCATTGTCATATAGTGCTATATTTTTAACATTTTTGGACCTCTGTTTACTGGGTTATGTGCTTTTTATCGTGAATATAAACTAGATCATTTGTTTTGGCAGCCATTGTCCATAGGTATAAAATGTTGCCTCCCCAAATGAATGAATAAAACAGTAATTGCTCTCCCGGCTGTACACTAGATGGAGCCTTTGGTTTAGGCATAATTTGGGAATGGTGACTATGAGATAGTGGGGCTACCAGTACTACACAAAGGGGAAAGTGTTTTTAAACTGGTTTAACTCATGGCTAGGGTTGCCAGGTCTGGTTAGGAAAATACCTGGAGACTTTGGGGGTGGATCCAGGAGAGGGTGGGGTTTGGAGAGGGGAGGGGCCTCAGCATGGCACAATGCCATGGAGTCCCCCCCTTCAAAGCAGCCATTTTCTCCAGGGGAGCTGATCTCTGTCAGCTGGGGATGAATTGTAAAAGCGGGAGATCCCCAGGCCTCACCTGGAGGCTGGCAACCCTATGGCGTACTCTGAGGAATGCTGGGAGCAATATCTCCTCCCCCACCCCCCTGAGGCCTATCTCGTGTGAAGGGGCACCATGACAGTTAAACCAGTCTAGATCTGGTGCTTTATGTGTGCCCTCAATTTCTCATAAAGCTTTAGTTTGGCATAAGCCTGGGCCATGAGGCCTAACAGTTTGGTCAGGCCTCAAACTGATTAAAAAATGGCATCTCACTTGAGTGCATTTATTCTTTCCTTGAAGCTCCTTAGGGCTCACACTCCCCTCCATCAAGCAATACTGGAACAATTCCAAGCCGCTCCCCCCCAAAGCCTTGGTTCCCCCAATGCCAACCCAGGCCAGGCATGCACACACAGCTTGGAACTTACCTGTTTTTCTTTCATTTTTCCTCCCTTGCCCATGCCACCCCCCCATCAAGAACAAGACAGTGGTTTTGAAAATATATTTCACGCCATCTCAACAAGTATGTCTGGGGTTAGAGGTCATGGGTCACCTGTGGTCTTCCCTGATGTCAGAACAGTCTGACCTAAGCCTTTCCAATTTGCCCTGTTTCTCTCCTGATTACTTGTGATGGTAGGATTGCCAACTTCCAGGTGAGGCCTGGAGAAAACATCTGCTTTGCAGGGTAGACACTATGGCATTATACCACCTCTTCTTCAAACCCTGCTGTCCCCAAGTTCCAGTCCCCAAATCTCCATGAATTTCCCAGCCTGGAGTTGGCAACCCTAGCTGAATGGGAGGATTTGCTGAGGGATTTCTACAGTTCTTATCAGCAACCTGGATCAATTATATGTCAGCGTCACCTATTCCACTGTTTCCTCAGATTACATACTGGCCGTTGAACCTGTTCCTCCTCTTACTTCCCTCTGCCAGATTTGACCACCATCTTGTACGCAAATATTGCCCACCACTGCACGTAGTCTACGGCAAGT